ACACCAGACCGCATCGATTGCCTCAAGCTGAGAGGATGCGTCGTTCCGGACCTCTTTGCACCGCTGCTTAAGTTTGAGTACAATAATCCAGCGAAGCATGGGCACCAACGGTTGCCGCCTCTGTCCAAAGTGAATATTTACTCATGCTGATAACCCAGATGTTGTGCTTGGATGTAGGATTTTTCTTTCGAATGTACACCATGCACGAGCTATTGTGCTATGTACAGTTCTAGCTAATTCTATACACCTCTGATGAGCATTTTTTATTATTTTGCAATTTTTTATTTCTTTCCACCTCTCGCATATGATTCTGGAAGTTCAGCTGACGCGAAACATAGATATAAAAAATGATGGCCTTACGCGTATACGGGATCCCGGTCCCGAGAATAATCGGTCGAAATTTTGAGCAATGCTCAAAAGAATTATCGGTAAAAATACGAGCATATTCCGCGGGGGCCTAGGCCCCGGGCCGGCCGGGGCCCCGGGGGACAGCTGAGTCACGTGTGTCGAGCACGTGAGAAAAGTTTGTGTGGCGGGAAAGTGAAGCACCTGCATGGCCGGCCATGGCGGACATGTATTTTCCCATTTTAATATATTCACAATAAATTACAGTCGCTGCGGTGAGCATACGTTCAGAAGAGGTGCAGTTCAGTGGCTGGTGTCCCCTCTGTTTCTCCTTTTTCCGAGCATCAGTGCAAACCTGCTAGTTCAGTAGAAGCAGCCATGAGTCTCGCTCTGAGGTGTGCTCGCACTCTGCGTCCTGCTGGAATCCAGCTACGTTGTGCCTCCGTTATAGAAATTCATCGTGGAACTGGTGATAGGTCCACTGAAGCTGTGAAAGCTCAAGTGAGCAAGTTTGATCAAAACCAGCAGGTCTACATTGACATCAGGAGATTCTTTCAACCAGAAGGCGAAAGTGATTTCAAGCCGACGAAGAAAGGTGTGTCGTTGAGTGTGGAACAGTTCGAGAACCTTGCTCGAGGTATTCCTCAAATTCGAGAGATGATCAAGGAAGAGCAATAATTCTCTCTCACGCGCAAGTTTGTGGATGGAATAATTCATTGCGCAAAGACAAGGGCAGATATAGACGGAGACACAGAGCACGGGCGTCTTGTATAATCACCATGGCAGTGCTAAGGCAACGCGGCAATTCCACACTTCATCTCCAGTTGAGTTGGAGAAATATCATCGGTCTGGAGTGACTTAGCCGTGCTACACCAGTCTGCTGCTGGCTGTGTGTGTGTGTGTGTGTGTCTGTCTGTGTGTGGTGTGTGTCTGTCTGTGTATGTTGCTAGCCCTGGCCTACGCGTACTAGTAACGTTAGAAACAAATCTTCACGTCTGCACTTTCTTTCCACGATTCCAATAGTTATTCCATTTCGACGCCTTTCTTGTGTTTCTCTCATCATATGGCTTCCGTTTCTACACTTTCTTTTGCGTTATCCTCACCAAGGCTTTCGGTTTCCAAAAAAAATTGTAGTTGATGTGCGAGTGTGCCCTAGTCCTGTCACTGTGTGCTGATGTGATTGCCACGAATATTGCGTTTACTACCAGTGTAAGTCGACAAATTGTCGGCCCATTCAAATTTCGGCCTCCCAGGGCTAAAACCCATTTCGGCCGCGTTACATTTTCGGCCTGTACTGCTGCTAGCATGCTGCCTGTGTACACGGTCACACTGAACATTGCAAAACAGAATTTCGGCTGCAACACATTTTCGGCCAAACATGACCAGGCCGAAAATAGCCGAAAATAAATATGTGCCGAATATGTGTTGACTTACGGTACTTGATTAGTATTATGTACTGAGTACCTTGCAACGCTCGTTTATTAGACTCGCTTTCCTTTACTCTCTTCCGCCGCTTTGCACAGGAAACTTGGAAAGCCCTTTTGATAGGCTCCCACAGTCTTTTGGTCAATACGCCAATTCAAAAACCAATCGATTTACTTGTGGTGCGATGAGCAAGCAGAATAATGTTCTGTTTGCTCCGGCGTTGAGGAGAGCAGCCGCCCGAGCGGTTTAATATTCCACAGTGAAACCTGGCGGGAACTTGGATTTTTGTCCAAAATAATCACGTGCATACGCGCTTTTGGGCTGCATTTGGCAAGCACTAGTACCGTACCAACTTCAAGTGACTTGTACACATTGTGACGAATGCAAACAACCAACCAAGTTTGGTGGACTTAACGGCAAACATGTATTTTGTTTCCTGAGTTTCGTTTGGTTTGAGGCTGTTCCTTGTGCACCAGTTGTTCGCGCCTGTTCTAAGATTATGGCAACCAAATGTGCCCCAGTTTATTGTTGGTTTGTTAAAATACTTTTTTTACTATTAAACATTGGCACGGATCAATGGTCAGCTGACAAAGTGAGGAGGAGACACTGCACCATGAGGCAATGACAAGACAGCGGGATCTTGACACACTGTAACAAGACCTTAGGGTCTGTGGGGAATGCCCAAGTAAAAATAATAAATACAATACAAATACAAAAAAACACATGCATGCACTGTATAAGTACAAATTTTCGTTTGAAATTTACTTTCGCTATATTCGTTCAGGACTCAGGCGGCACGAAATAACTAAAGCTTGTACCAAACTAAAGGTTTTTTTCTGAACGTTCGGTGTGTGACAGACCTTGACCAAAAACGAAATCTAAGGGTGCGTTCTTATATTCTCTAGCTTCTAGAAGGAGAAGAAAAGAGAAGTCGAAGAAACTGGGATTACTCAAGAACGGGTCTCGAAGAACTCGGGGATATTTTGCACTGTCAAACAAAATGAAGCGTCAACGCGGCCCGCGATCTTGAGTGATGAATGTATGTGCGTATGCGAAAAGGGAAATGCGTACACTCATGATGAACACGTGGCTTTTAGTCGTAGTTCGCATGCGCTGATCCCAAACCGCGGGAATCTCCAAGTTTCAACCACCTCTGAAGCTTGGAGAGCTTTGGAGAGCCTCCTAAAAGTCGGAGAGGATATAAGAACAGCTCTCGAACTTTTCGGAGAGTCTCCAACTTTTCCGAGAGGATTTAAGAACGCACCCTTAGTACGTAACAAGCCTGCTGGTGGAGTGATCTAAGATTTCGTGAACGAAAGTCTGTACTTACACAGTAGTTGCAGGTCACTGTGATGAGGTAGCTTCTCCCCGACCAAGTTAGTTCGTTTTTGATCTACTTCGAGTACAGGTTTGGGTAGAAACTACTGTAAATCAACTAATTTTCGTTGGCGATTTAATTTCGCTGATTTCGCCACTGGGTACCAACCGGCCAAATTTTGTCATAGTGATAGAGGCAAATGATGCATGGATGCATGCTAGAGCCCCAACTACTGACTGATTTCTTTTTTGAACACCCTAATCGGCCAAAGTTTAATGACGGCCAAAAGTTTCATTTCGAGATCGGCCAAAGTTTCTCACCGGTAAAAATTTGTTGATTTACAGTACTTCTTTCGGTAGATGCGTTCCTTTTTCTACTCAAAAGAGTAGATTCTACCTTTCTCTACCGGCGCTACCAAACAAAAGCTGGTAGAAGTCGGTAGAACTTGGTAGAGGTACGGGATTTCCATAAAAATCAAGGAGTTATACACGACTCCATACAGAAGAGAAACATTTCAAGTACACATCGTGAAAGACTACTAAATCCGGTAGGACAGCATTCGTGCATTTACCTCTACCTTCTACCTCTATCGGTAGAATGACTCTACTCTACTCTACTCTAGATCTACTAGGTAGCTAAAGAAGAACGCAGCCCAAGTGGTCTTGGTGGGTCAACACAACCAAAGGCAGTCAATTATGTGGGAAATGCACTATGCATGTGCTAGCATGAAGGCACCACTTTATTATTGCTGATTCAAATGGTGGTATATAAGCACTTGGCAATATGGCGGTAAATACACGTCTGCCCACACACGCTCTCTAGGCTGCAAAGTTATTTTGGCACAGAGCTCTCCTTCTTACCACCACCACCACCACCATCAGTTCGCGCCTGACGCCTAGTCAATGCATGGTTAGTGGTATCCGACATAGCAGGCTGGTACATCAGGGCGCCAGGCACGAACTGATGGTGGTGATGGTGGTGGTAAGAAGGAGAACGTGTGTGGGCAGGCGTGTATTTACCGCCATATTGCCAGGTGTGTATTTACCACCATTTGAATCAACCACAAATACAGCTGCATCGGTGTCTTCAACTTCATTCTCACTGTATTATTATTCTCGTAGCTATGCAAAAGACATTACTTCAGTAACGTCTGGCGCTAGCCAGGGTCCACACAGCTTTAATTCCGTGTTTGTTTGTTTGCGCCATCGGCATGCCTGGCGCTATCCCGTACCTGTCCCGTACCGTACCATCAAAGACATCAATACGGTGTTGTACGGTATACGGATGTCGTATAGCATGTCGTACAACAGTACGATGAAATTGTGGGAGAAACCAGCGACCGCTTGGGAACGATGAGCATTACAACAGTCTTATTGTGAGTGAGAGTCAGGCCAAGTTTCTGAAGATCAGTAGCGAGTGCTATCCCGAGCATTATGTTAGCATTGCAAAAGCATAGACAGGATGCGTATTATAGGAGACCCAAGTTGCTGAAGATCAGTAGTCATTGCTGATAACGTGCAGAAAAACTAAATCTGCAGCCTCTTTTTGCCGTCGGACAGGATGCGTATTATAGGAGACTGCAAAGGTATGTAATGTGCTCCACAGGCAACCATGCACTCGGCCGTCAGCAACAGTTAAGCACAAGCACACTATCAAGTTAAGGACATTATTGTATTATTGTATTGTATAGTATGGAATATAATTTTACCTCATTGGCTCAGCAGGTCAATGTATTACTACAAAAAGGCCAGAAAATCCGATTTTGAGGGGCAGTTCTAATAACATGCATGATGTGCTAGGCAAAAAAGCATAGCGTAGGGCCCCGAGCTTCCAAGCTCTCTCGTTCAAAGAAAGCCTGACCACCATATTCATTAAACATCCCTGTTCTTTTCTGTTCTTTGTGTCTACATAGTAATAAACTACCTCAATCGGCAAGTAACCGAGCATCGTCTTGGACAGCAGCCTGCGCTAGCTGCTACCGCTGCGGGACACGGCGGCAGTTTTGAGTGCTCAGCCGTGACTGGTACTGATGGCTCTGCCTTGTCGGCTATCAATCGTCCGTTCACCGCCACTGGAGCCTGGACGGCTGGTTGCGCCTCCGTTTCTGCTGCTGCTCCTGTTAGTGCCAGTGCTCACAGTCCCGATGCGATTGCCAGTGCTGCGGCACGCGTTGAGCAGGTGAGTCCAGGAGCATGGCCGATGCTGTCCTACAGCCGCGACCCGGCTCAGCCATCCTTTACTGATGCATTGCCCAGGGTGCCAGACGTACTATGTCGCTATGTTTCCGTCATGCACCTTTGGCGGAGCCTAGGAAAATAATTTTTGTTCGCCTGAATGCCTACCTTTCAGGTGTGGGATTCCTGCCGGCCGGAATGCCTAGATTTGCGACAGCTGTACTCCGCTGTCAAAAATATTCTTCAGCGGAGAACAATATAAAGTCATTCTGTTGCACCTTTTAACCAGTACAGGAGGTAGACATGATTTCTAAGCATCGGATGAAGGAGATCTCAGAGCTTTGTCGTTTGAACCAGTGCTTCGAATTGAAATTCTGGATGTTTTTTGGATTTCTTTCATGAAGACTACGTCCGATTTTATGTCCGATTCTGACGTCTACTGGTAGTTCTGCTGGATTTGCTGATATTTCCGTCAATTGTTGTTTTTGGGTTTTTTTGTTCTTCCCCGTTGTTGGCTATCACCCTCTCCCCTCTGATTGGCTGTTGTTGTTTTTGTTTTGTTTTGTTTTTTGTTTGTTTTTTTCAGCTATGGGATGAAGCAATAATAATAATTTAAAAAATAATAATTGAAACTTGGATCTGGACAGGGACAATGAACTGGTGGGTGTGCTTGCCCAGGTGTTTTGTCATCCAGTCACTGTGTCGTGATGCTGTTTGAATTTTTGTTCCTGTGCCTGCACTGCACTCTGACCGATGCAGCAGCAGCGTCAGGACATGCCCAAGCCGCCACCAGCGGGATACGCGGCTCGGCAACCTTTGAGCGCCATCCAGGCGAATGTGCTCGGCAGAGCAAGCAGTGTTGGCGTGCAGCAAAATCCAGTGCAAGTAAGTTAGTTGAAGACAGTTCAGGCCAAACAAATTCATTTATGTGATATTCTCTTCTAATTTTGTGGATTTCTAGTACAGTAAAGGACCAAGGAACTACAAGTTACGCTATAATGTCCACTAACACCACCAGTTACTTGACAATCAGCTCATGCGATAACAGTGCACAAAACTGACCGACAGTACTGACGTTCTACAATTAGCTGGTGATCAGCTCTAGCACGTCTATGATTCATGGTAAATTGTAATCTATTAAAACAAAAAAACTTCGCTATGGGATTGGTTTTATGGAGCATACTGGTAGATGCGGAGCTGCACACTCTGGTTTATGGACTCTTGATTCAATTCCCTTTCAGTACGCTTCACGTGAGTTTTGCATTCTCACCTCGCTTTTCCAACGTGCATGTTATGTTATGTCCTGTGTGTGTGTGTGTGTGTGTGTGTGTGTGTCTGTGTGCGTGTGTGTGTGTGTGTGTGTGTGTGTGTGTGTGTGTGTGTGTGCAGGCTAACCATAATGCTGCGGTGAAACGCAGCGGCATTCCTGTGCCTGCCGCCAAGGTTCAGCATGGACCAGCCAGCAGTGATCCAACAAAAGTGTCTAGTACTAGTAGAGATGCCAACACCCGTGCGCCGAGGACTCTGTCCACAGCAAAGCCTGCCGCTGATGCTACTATCCCACCCAAAAGCCGGCCACCTCTGCTACCTCCTCAATCAGCATCGACGGTTGTGGCTGGTGCACTGCATGGTGGACTGGACCCCTGCTATCTGCAATCAGCGGAGCCTGCACTACCGTCCGCTCCAGCTTATGGCCAAGAGAGGCCCATTGCCGCTCGTAAAAGCAGTGCAGCAAATGTACCAAGCTCTTTCAATTCAGCATACTTTCCTCGGTAATTCGCCCGGACAGGTACGTTCAATCCCTCACCCCTCACCCTGGACAGGTATACATACCCCCCCCCCCCCCCCCCGGACAGGTACGTACAACCCTTTCCTACCTATTTTCTATTTATCCAGCGTTGTCTTGTCTTCTTTTCTCTTCGCTTTTCTCTGTGTTTGATACTCTGTTCAGTCCTGTAGTACTAGTACATGTATCTGTCCCCGCGCTACCTGCATCCCTGCATTAAATGTATAACTCTGCCCATCGCGTTTCCCCTTGAATTTTTAGGTAGAGTCTGTCAGATTAGGTAGGTACATGATAAAATTATGTTGTTGTTAATAGGGCTGTCCCGCCCTCCTTTGCAAGTCTGTTGTTCACCATTGCTCCTTCATTCCTGTTTGAGTTGTCCAAAATGAATGTGTAAGTGATCATGTTCTCTCCAATGTGCACGAGCTGGCCAGAGTGGTGGCGGGTTAAACACTTGTTGTGCTTGTTGGCGAGACTGGCAGTATCCGACATTGGCTGCTTTTATCAGTTGGTAAGCACCACTTGGGAAGTTTCGCACGTGCCAGAACTTCACTGCATAGCCGGTGGTCTTGCCGCTGGGCGCTGCATCTGCCACCCAGGTATCTAGAAGGCCTGGTGATGGCTGACCATGTGCAAACCATTCTAAGCTGGTTGCGTTTCTAGACACAATTGTATAGCCGGTCAGTCGGTGGTATCGTGGATGAGCACACTTTAAGTTTACTCCAGAAGTTAGTTCGTACTACTCCCTGATTATATAAGAAGCCTTGCTTGATATGCTGTCGACTTCGAAAACATGCCATAGTCCCTGATTACCACTCGCATTGGCTATTTATTTTGCAGTCCAGGACCCCAAGAGTTGTCCGCACTTCAGTGGTCTTCGCAGCCAGTCATACAGCGCACTCAGGGAATATTTCAGCCACACCAAGGCAAGAGCTCTGAAGTAAATTTTCTTCTTCAGGCTTTCTTCCCCTTTTACAACACGACTCACTCAAGCTATGGAGTTCGTTATGAATAAGAGCGCCTTGCGCTGCAGGGTGTGGATTGGCACGAAGTGCATGGGCGCCGGTACAAGTGAAGGTTGTACTCCACCTGCCTGTGCAGGGGCGTAGCAGCCGCTCCGGCCGGTCCGGCTTTGGCCGGACCACTTTTTCGCTTGACCACGACCACCATAGTAAAACAATGCCAAAAGTGCTCAGAATGCAGGATTTTGCACCCTAATTTCACCCCCCCCCCCCCCCCCCCGGCCGCCAACGGCGGTGCTACGCGCCTGCTGTGTAGTATCACACTACAGGTTCGAGCTTCGAAATCCGAAGAGAACGTTGAACAACGACCATGCCATGAGCGGTCGAGCACCGCAGGCTTGTGACAGTTCCCTGGTTGGAATACTGTGGCCAACTCGGTCAACTGCCTCAAACTGTAGTAAACAAGAACTGACACTGTAACAGTGTGAGCCACTGCACTGTCCCTGCGGGAATTTACAGAAAAATTCTCGAAAACTTGCGCAATAAAATTGCGGCAGAAAATCACGGGTTTGGGCCAAAATCGCGAAATTTGTTGCATCGGTGGAATCGCGATTTCCTGGAGGGACAGCCTGCGTGGTGTTGCATCTATACAACGTGCAACTGGTGGTGTCACATTGGTGCAATGCCAATTTGTGTTTTTCTGATAGGGCTGAAACGATCATTCAATAACTCTTAAAACGATCAACCAATATCATTAACGATCGATATATTGGTATTATCGATTCTTGCCGGCTCTACCCGTGTACCTCGAACATCAGTTTACGAAGAAATTCCACGATACCTTTGCTACGTTAGAAATTTGTGGCACCGCACTGTTGACATCTGTAGACATCTGGCGGGTTTACCAACATGACCTAGAGAATTTCATGTTGTTTCTAGAGCGAAGAATCTTGTCATCACCCTCCGGCAACTCCTCTTATCTCTGACCTTTCCCAAAAATGAACTGAAAAGATAAAGAGTATTCTCTTTCGATCTCTTTCAAAGCCACAAATCAATTTTACTGCGCTTGAAAGCACATTATTGTACTCGTATTCACTATCGGATGGAGTGCAAGGGCTAGAATACTGTCACTTATACACATGCATAAAAAATCGTTAGCACTCGTTTTGAGCACTAACGACTATCGATTGCACTCCTAATGATCGACATGCGAGTTATCGGTATAATTTTTTTTTAACTATGTTCACATTTGTTTCAGCCCTAACTTTTTCATGCCCTATTTTCAGTTTGAGCGATATGATTTGTCAAAACGTTTATAACAGATATGCTGTAAGGGGTCGCCACCGCTGCAGCAGGAGTTTAAAATCAGCGGTGGTTGTATTGTACAATCTACATGATAACAAGAATAGCCGATTGGCATGGTGCAATTGATATCGGTTATTTTTTTTACTGGATTTTGGCCATTATCAATTTTCATCCCGCTTGGTGTTGGCATTCTATATCACAATTTGTGTGTTTTTTCGAATAAAGGCACCACGTAGTACATAATAACAAGAACACAGAAAAAGAAAAGAAAAACATTGAGACCATGTGATCAATCAGGATGATGTAGAATTTCAAGGAGCGATTATCAATAGGAGTACCAAGTGTTGGCAAAATTGTGTTCGTGGAACAACACTTGGGTTGTGTGTGTGTGTGTGTGTGTGTGTGTGTGTGCGTGTGCGTGTGTGTGTGTGTGTGTAGCAATGTGGCATGCATCGGTACCAGCACCCATGTTGTCCACAGCACGGAGAGAGACAGAGATACACAGACAGGCAGACACACACACAGACAGGCAGACACACACACACACACACACACACACACACACACAGGGAGAGACAGAGAAACACACAGAAGCATATGCAGAGACACCGAGCAGGACCATGGAAGGGAGTATATGCAGTGTTTTAGCCACAAAAATAGTCCCTGTAAAGCGATAGGAACTACATGACTAGTGCGCTAGAAGCTGCAATTACCTTTCACTGCAGAGTGTATGACACTTGGTGCCTTTTGTAAATGAGCAGAACACCAGCAGTAGCAGTACATGACGTTTGGTGGAATCGCAGACAACAATCCAGTCTACCACGACTGCAGCAACGCCTTCCCTGATGTTGAGAAGGTTTGTTCAGTGAAAAGCGGTCAGTCATCCCTGGCAGCCTTGAGGGAATCCAGAAGGGATAGGATTGTGGTGCTGTACTGGAAGTACAGGCGTCCTCTCAGTAGACCTGTGCCGAGAACCACTTTGTCGCTGAACTCGTTGCCGTCGAGGCAGATTGGATCGATGTGGCGCGCCCCCGATGTCAGCCGCTGAGCCTGCATCTTATTCAGATCAACCGTATCGCGTAATCGATTGAACGATAGATCCAGGATGCGCAGGGTCCTGTCTGTGGCAAGCCGCTCGCACAAATACTTGATGCCAGTGTCCGTAAGGCCGTTTTGCGCTAGCGAAAGCCAGCGCAGCGAGGACCGACGAGGAAAGTACTTTGCCAGAACCGCAACACCGCGGTCGCCAATCCCTGTCGAGTGCAGACCAATCAACTCCAGGTTGGGACAGCGACTGATCAGCCTGCGGAGTGTATGCTCCAACCGCTGCCATTGACCGTCACCCATTCCCGCAGTGGCCAGTGGGTTGCCCTGAAGGCTGAGGTAACGCAGTGTTCGATTTGGCCCATTTGCCTCGACCGCGCTTACAATCGTGGCCAGCCCATCTGCATCAATCTGGTTTGAACTGAGGTCAAGTGCTTGAATAGATCTGTTGAAGCACAGGACGTTGGCCAACGGCACCATCCCGACGGACGTCAGTCGGTTTTGCCCGCAGCTCAGCGATTCATAGCCTGTAAGAGAGGATAGGTGTTTCTCTAGACGGCCAATGTACTCATCGCCGATACCCATGAAGGTCAGGTTTAGTTGTGAGTACTTGCCATGGGGCGGCAGATAGCGGTCCTCGTCAATCGACTCGGGGCTCAGCTCTCGCATGCCCCCGCCACAGATGCTTGCGTAGCCGAATTGCAGAGTGATGTAGGGGCTCTGCACCGTTCTGCCCAGGGCTTCCAGTGCATGCCGTGTGAGCTGATTGCCAGCTAGCTTCAGGACGTAGTTCACGGAATCGCCGCTGCCGCCGTCACCAGGTGCCTCAAACAAGGATCTTCGCTGCAGCTGCTCGACAGCATTCTGCAAATGCGGCAAGATCGAGTCCGTCAAGCAGTTGAACGACAGGTCCAGGCGATGGCAGGCCAGGACGGACACTGCTCTGATGCAGGCCTTGGCGCCAACATCACCTATCTGATTCTCGCGGAGCAGGATCTGATCGATCTTTCCTTGCTCGATGGCCGCCAGCGCCAGCTCCTCTGCTCCGGCGTCTTCGATGTCCATGCACGAGCACACCAGGCGAGTGAGCGACTTGTTCTGGCGAACGGCTGCAGCCAGCACAGCGCAGCCCTCGGTGGAAAGTTTGGGAACAGTCTTGTGCAAGTACAGCTCATCTAGACTCTCGGTGCTCTTCAGAAAGTCGCAGATGGCCTTCAGATCACTCTCCTGCAGACCGCAGCTGCGGATTGACAACCTTCTCAACGAGCATAGCACGTCACTCAGTGGCCTCAGAAGAAGCGGCAGGCCTTCTCTGCTGATGTTCTTGTTCACACCGATGTGCAGAGTGTCGAGTTGCCCTAGGTTGTCACAACGCGACAACTTTTCACAACGGCTCTCATCGAGCAGACAACTCTCCAAGCTTAGCGTATGAAACGTCATGTCGTGCTGTAGCTGCCGAATGAGGATGTTGAAATCTTGATCATTAAGCTGATGGTGGCCAAGGTCCAAGTTCCCATCCTCCAGCACGTCAGCAAGTCGCACATCTGGTACCTTGTTCTGCGTGCTGGTTGGCTGTACTCTCCAGCACGACTGTGTCTCGTCATGGAATTGTGCCATGCTGTGCAGCAGCAGACGTGCTGCCATCTTCCGGTGTTCGAAGACACCTTTCTCGGCAATGTGGAAAGCATGCCGAAGAAGGAAACAAAGGCTCTCTCCGTCAAGCAGGCCGGCCAAGCACAGCCAAAAGTTGAACTTGCCCTCGTCGAACGGGATCTTGTTGTTCATGTGGGCTTGGATCAGTTGTCGGCAGTCTGGCTGCTGGGCAATCCAGCGTGCGGCCATGAACTCCTGCACTGCTAGATGAATGTACTGGCAGTAGACGCCGAGTTTGTCGGTCTTGGACATCTCCAGTGCATCCCAGTGCACCAGCAGACCCGTATCCAGTGCCTTGGAGTCCAAGTACATCACTTCAAACAAGTACTGCTGATCAAGGATGCCGTCCAGGGCCAGCTTCTCTAGGTAACTCAGCACCTCAACCAGGTATGTGACTCTTCCATCTCTGATGCTGTCCTGTTTCTTGACAACCTTCTCCACTGACGGACCAAGGCCATACGTCTGCGTGATGTCCTCGTCTTGACTCTGATGCGCCTCGCTGGTTTTGCGTGTGACATATCTCTTCAGTAGGCTGATCACCACGTGGCCATACACCTCACACAGGCCACTGGGCAGCTTGCCGTCTCTGAGAAACTGCGTGATGATGAGTGATGCATGCAGTGGGTTGGCCATTAGCAGCTCCACTTGCTGCAGAGATTCTCGCTCCCGTTCGAACTTTGCAGCAAGCTCGTCGGCTTTTTTTCCGCCGATGCCTCTCTGCTGAATGCGTCTCCTCAACATGGCAGTTTGCTGCTGAGATGACAGCTCGCACATCTGATAGTGCATGGCCGTGTTGCTGAGCAGCCGTCGTGCCTGAGCGCAGGGACGTGATGTGGCTACAACATGACACGCACTCAGCTCACCAGTACCAGCCAGAACTCTCAGTACGGCACTCTCCTCGCCAATCAGGCTGGGGCGCAGCTCATCAAGTCCGTCCATTACGACCAAGATCTGCTTGGAGTGCTGCGTGGCGTAGTCTCGCACCTCGGCCATGTCAGCCGCGCTCAGTCCGTACGCCGCTGCGCCCAGTCCCAGAACGTCCCAGAACGTCATGTCCTCTCGCAGCCGTCGAGCAGCCACGTACAGCGCTAGGCTGTACTCAGTGAACATATCACAGCAGCCCCAGCGCCGAAGGATCTCCAATGACGTCATTGTCTTGCCAGCACCTGGCGGTCCGATAAGCAGGCACTTGGTCCTGAGCGGTTGCCCGTCTCCGCCAGTGAAGATGTCCTGCAGGTCGACGCGACTCTCCTCGTCATGCGCCCTATCCCTTCCCAGGCGTGTGATTGGCTGATTGTCCAAACTATCCAGCGCCTGCTTCCCGGCCAGTGGCAGCAGCGAAATTGGAATGTAGCTGATGTGATCTCCCACAGCGTCGTTAGCAAGCAGGCCATAGTCGCTGCCACAAGCACCGAACGGCACAAAGTTGCCCACCCGGTAGCGCTCCTGGAGATGTCGCCGCAGCTTCTTGACACTGTCCGGCATGGCGGCAAGCTGCAGGTGGTAGAGTGATGGCAGCTCCGCCAGCTCTCGGTCACTCAGGGTCATGAAGTTGATGCTGCCCCGTGACAGGGCATCATATTCTCGCTGCAGTGCACCCGGGTCGGCAGCAGAATCCAGGATCAATGTGGCCAGGTCCATCTGGCCAGCTCTCTGCCACCCCGCCTCCAGCAGCACAGCAAAGAACTCCTGCAGTGCCGAGTGCTCCTTGTCGGGACCGAGTGGCTTGTCCTTCATGGCAATGAGCCGTTCCAGCAGCATGTGGCTCAGCGTGAATCCACAGTTGCGCTTGTTACTGCGAGGACCCAGCATCTCACTGTCCAGCGAGTTCAGCTTCACCACTTGCCTGTTGATCAGCTTGTCGATGATCGGAATGCAGTCAAGGCCTCGCACCAGTCTGTCCCAATTGACCAGGATGGCCTGTAGCAGAATATGGTGACTTGGACGAGGAGTACTATTGCAGCTAGCCATGATAGCCGATCGCACTCCGTAGCGTCCAGCGTACTTCAGTTGAGTCTGCACATAACGGAGCACATTAGTACAGTACATTCATGAGCACCTATTTTGTTGATGAGCCCCCCCCCCCCCCCCCTCTCCCTCCACAGACACGCACGCACTATCTGCTATCCACGTGTATCTGACGTAAGGTCCTGCGGCAACAGGCAGTGACGTATATGTACACCAGACGTGCTACATTATTTTAATTTTAGATTTAATTTATTGTTCAGTCTGTCGAGGACTGGGGTTGATCCACCCCCCCCCCCCCCCCCCCCCGGAGAGTCCTAGCCATTGGCGGACTATGCTCAGCCAATCGTCAAATTATGCTTTTGATTAGGGCTGAAACGATTATACCGAATAATGAGTACTCGTTTGATAACTCTCACGATCGAGCAATCGTTTAGATTACCGATTACGATTATTTTGCGTTTTTTTAATTTGTGTCCAGAAAGTACTGTAAACCCTCGTTTTATGAAGTTTGAATCAGTTTCCGCTGGCAATATGCAGTTGCCAGGGGTATGGTTCATGTTCTGAGGTTAAATTGACTTCAAAACTGCCATGTTTCGGAGCTACTCTTTCACTAATGCAGATTTGTTGGTATTGTGAAGGCATAGTTAGTGGAAACAGAGTAATGTCAGCACAGAATTATGACACTATTTGCTAACGATTATAATCGATTACTCGATCGTTAAGCTAACGAGTAATCGATACATGAAAATCCACGATCGTTTCAGCCCTACTTTTGATTATGCCACAATTATGCCAACAAATATGCTGAATTATGCTCGGTTCCACTATGTATTCACGCTGTACATAGAGGATTGAGAAACCACGCATACACACACGGCCATGCCCTAAGCATAATTTTTGTCTAAACCGAAAGATTATGCCGACCTTACACGTTGGAATCCGTATATTATGCCGGAGCATAATTTTTTGACGAAATCCCAAGATTATGCCAAATATTATGCCGGCATAATCATGATAATCCACCAAGGACTATGGCTGTGTTTACATGAAGCGTTTCAACCCGGGTTGAGTTCGACCCGGGTCAGATTTCAACCCGCCATGTGCACAAAATGAATGGCGCGTTTACATGACGCATTGCGCTTGACCCGGGTTGAAATTTCGCCCCGGGTTGATTTCAACCCTCCCCCCAAGGGGAGGGTTGAAATCAACCCGGGTCAAGAAATTCGTACAAACGTACTTCTGTGCGTATCTCGCGCCAGGTTTGAACGGCACTGCAGATGCAAATTTCGCGCGAACGGATTCACGTGACCATACAGGACTGTAGAAGTGGACTTTTGGCGGCATATCAGTATTTGACCCGGGTCAACTGTCTTCATGTAAACGCTCACGTCTTTTGTCTATCGTACAGGCTTTCAACCCGGGCTGAACTCGACCCGGGTTGAAATTTCTCATGTAAACACAGCCTATGACAAGGAGTCGTAACTGGGGTATTAAAAAAAAAACATCTGCAGGCTTTCTGACAAAGCTGTATTATGCCCCTAAGCATAATTTTTGTCTAAACCGAAAGATTATGCCGACCTTACACGTTGGAATCCGTATATTATGCCGGAGCATAATTTTTTGACGAAATCCCAAGATTATGCCAAATATTATGCCGGCATAATCCGCCAAGGGCTACCGGAGACTGTACTGGGGGGGGGGGGGGGGGGGGGTGCAGATCATAGTAATCGGCACTCTACTGTCTTTGCGCGAAGTGACTTGCACCCCCCTCCCAGAGGTGGACCAGCTACTGGTACGCCCCTGGGATAGGATTCAAGAACGGATTCAAGTGGCAGAATGTATGTACTAGTAATCGAATGCAATCGAATGCGCTTTTCTGACCGGGGTGGGTCTCTGGATTTACCTGTAGCATCACACGAGGATGTACAGGTAAATCACGGAGGATCGTTGAGACAATAACACGGGTCCTCTATTCCAATTCCAAGTGGTATCAGTAAGACTTTTGTAGTACCATACATCATTTACTCAGTCTCCGCCTTTCCCACGATACGCGGTCAGCTCAGTGTGTTGCCATAATCTACATTTTCATGTATGAACACAGCCCTACTGGCCCTACCGGCTGACAAACGTGTGGAGAACACAAGTCTTAAGACCAGACACAATGAACATGGACGATCAGGGCCGCAGCGACCGCCGATCGGTCCGGCAGGTCCAGCAACTGCCGGACCAATGTTCGGGCAAAAAAAAGAATACAAGAGGCGCTCGCCTGCACAGGATAGGACTTGAAGCGGCAACTTGAGTGCATTCGATCAGTTCGTGAAAAAGGTGGTCGAAGAAGAAGAGTGCTGGCGGTTTTTCGATTCAGTCGTAGTTGTCAGTGGTGGATGTATGGAGCCAAATTCAAGTTATTCTGTATGGAAAATGATGCAGGTACTCAATCTCAAGGCTGTGACTTACAAGTAAAACATCATGTTTCCTTGCGAAAAGAAATTTGGATCTATTTCCTTGCGAAAAGAAATTTGGATCTGAACTAAAGGGGACGTTTTCACGCGGTGTTTGTGAAGGTGGTGGGGGTTGGGGGGGGGGGGGGGGGGGGAAGGTTGCATCTTGCCGGACCAACCAGAATGAGGCTGCTACAGGCCTGATGATGTGCTGATGTACTGGGAGCAACTGACCAGAGGTCCCCACGGCGGCTTTAGCGTTGCAATCAATCATCGATAACGATTGTGTGTGAGAGGAGCAGGAGGGGAGGGGGGGGGGGGGTAAGATGCTGCAGAAGTAGACTACAGAAGAAAAGAAAATACTAAAAGAACCCTGAATTGTGGTAGCGACCTCGGCTTTTTCTAGTGTGGGAAGCAGCCAACTTCCTTATAAAACCTGAGGTGTATTGAATACGTGTGTAGGTTGCCACCACCTAGGCCAGGGCCTGGGGTATCTTAGTTCAGCAGATAAAGTCTGACTTACGTGAGGGTCAGGCGATTGAGATGTTGGATATTGTGCAGAGAGATCTGCACTATCGCTGCCTCGATGAGCAACTACTGCTACTGCCGACCGCGCATTCGACTCGAACTCGGTTGGGAAAGACGGTTTCTTTACGACCGTCAGTTCTTATGATTCGCTACCCGCGCTAGGCGCGTTGCGAAGCCTTCTGCTCCTGAATCGATTCCGATGCTACCAAGATCAGAGGGGCTGTGGTCTCCTGTTGCTACTGATATGTAATACATGTATTAGGATCTCTGGGCGCGCGAATACTTTGTATGTTTTTGCTCGCCGGAAGGACGGAAGCGTCCAGCTGCCAGTAAGCTAGAAACACGTCGCAAGCATTAATTAATTATTTTATGACTGTTGGCATCACTGGATCATGGAAGTTGGTACTCTGTTACCGTCACGGCGTCACGATAGTAGATCTACTGACTGAGTCTGTGACTCTGTGTGCCACCAAGGCTGCACCAGGATACTACAGTTCAAGTTGTATCTACTACATTGTAGTATTAAAATTGAGTAGTAGTAATGTAGAAACTTACTTACTAGAAAGTAAGTTAGGCTGTGTTTACATGAGAAATTTCAACCCGGGTGGAGTTCAGCCCGGGTTGAAAGTCTGTACGATAGACAAAAGAGGTGAGCGTTTACATGAAGACAGTTGACCCGGGTCAAATACTGATATGCCGCCAAAAGTCCACTTCTACAGTCCTGTATGGTCACGTGAATCCGTTCGCGCGAAATTTGCATCTGCAGTGCTGTTCAAACCTGGCGCGAGATACGCACAGAAGTACGTTTGTACGATTTTCTTGACCCGGGTTGATTTCAACCCTCCCCTTGGGGGGAGGGTTGAAATCAACCCGGGGCGAAATTTCAACCCGGGTCAAGCGCAGTGCGTCATGTAAACGCGCCATTCACTTTGTGCACATGGGGGGTTGAAATCTGACCCGGGTCGAACTCAACCCGGGTTGAAACGCTTCATGTAAACACAGCCTTAGATACAATGATTATGTATGCTGAGCTTGTTACAAGCATAGGTCTACGCTTTGCATTGTGTTATTGTATCGCTTCTTTAGACTTTTATACCCAGTTCGGCTCGAACACAGCGCGCGTGATGTTGTGCCAGGGCAGAGGTCATCAAGGTGCAAGCTGCAGTGCAAGGCGACGTGCACTCTGACCTCATGAATGATGGACAATGTAGATCTACAGGTACTGTACTGCATGCATGCGCATGTCCGGCATGCTTATGCATGCATGCCCTACTATACATCATGTGCATGCAGTGTATGCCGGGCCGGGCGGGGTTACAGTCTGTCAAGCAACAGCAATGACCACCACCAAGCACCATTATAATATTATTTTCTATTGCATGATTTGCATCAGGAGATCCCCTCGACAGGCCATCGCCTCTGGGAGATCCATAAAGCATAAAGATTATTATGTTATTATGACCAGGGAGTACTACTCCCTGATTATGACAGACCACCACCATGACCGTATCAAAGTTTACCATGACTGGCTTGACCGCGTTGTGTGAGCACTGAGCAAGGAGTCAAGCCTCAAGGAGTGAAGGAGTGAAGGACACGTGACAACCGCAGTACATGTACTACAGTAGCTTGCTGAGTGTAAACTAGCACTGTGACAATTGACATGTCATTTTCGGTAACTTATGGTTGTGGTGTCTTTGTCTCCTTGATCTTGCATGTCCAAACGAGGGGATCTTTGTCACCCAAAGCACCTCCCCCCCCCCCCCCCTCTCCTTCCTCCGGGTACTGTACACCACTAACGTCGAGTAATGAAAAGACACGGAGTTATAGTACTCCACGGTAGTCTACCTGTGGCCCTGGGTTGCAATGAAACCGAGACACCTTGTCAGGCTAGAAGTAGGCTGTGAAGCTGTCTGTGAAGCTGTCCCTATTCCCCCTCCTCAGGCTCCTCCCCCCCCTCCCCCCCCCCTCCCCAACTCTTCCCCCTTTCTGACGAATACATCATGTTGTAGCGTCCCTGACGTTCTCGCATCATGATATCATCATTTGTTTGCATGTACACGTCATATTTTCCTCATCATCACAAACACTGATTCACCATACTCTCGCACACATTGTAATACCTACTACACGTACTTCGCTACCATAATAATTACGTAATGTTTGGCTAGCATAGTTCCAATACACATTACGACATCTTTTGATGTTACGCACTCCTCGCCTACAACGCTATTGTAGAAAAGTAGTCTTTACTCATCTCTTGTAAGTTCTGTTTGCATCCAAACACTTCTTCCAAACAGCACACGTCAGATATCTAACAAAACAACAAACTTCATTGCACAGTCTTCTATCACAATCTCTTTCCTATATAAACCTCCTTTCTCTTCACTTTCTTCATGACATTTAGTGTTCGCCAGTCTTGTAAAGATCTTGGAAACTAACACTCGTTGCACTGTATCTAGACTACTAAATTGGTGACCTCCGACGTGAGTAAAGTGCAATATGTCCAGCGACGATGGTTCTTCCGCTTCCGCCTCTGGAGCTTCAGCTGCCGCTAGCTCCTCCGCCCCGGCCCAAAACCAACCACTCGCCCGCAACGACCAACACGACGCACCGGACCGTCCGGTGTCTGCCATCACCTTCCGACTGCCGCAGTACTGGCCCGGCGATCCGCAGCTTTGGTTTGCACAGGCAGAAGCGCATTTTGCCAACCATCGCATCACCAACCCGCGGGCCAAGTATAATGTCGTCGTGAGTTCGCTGGCTCCTGAATACGCCGCTGAGATTCGGGACTTGCTCCTAGCGCCGCCAGCCGAGGAGCCGTACCAAGTCCTGAAAGAGGCGCTCACCGCACGCACACAAAAGTCCGATCAGGCACGGTTGCGTGAGCTACTCTCGACAGCGGACATCGGGGACAGCCGACCAAGTCGCGTCCTCCGACGCATGCAACAGCTTTTAGGCAGTAAGTCGCTAGACCCAACTATCCTGCGCGAGCTATTTGTACAGCGTTTGCCCGTGACGGTCCGCCTGATTCTGGCTGCAACACCTGCAAGCCTCAGCCTGGACGAACTTGCAGCGCTTGCTGACAAGGTGGTTGAAAGCACGTGCTCAACCCCACTCACCGGTACAAGTGTTCACGCTCTGAGTGAAGCCCCTAGCCCTGCTCGGTCTAGTACGTATACGGCCTTATCATGTAGATCTACAGCGTCCACAGATGCGGAACAGGCCTGCACCGCTGACAGGGCTGAGATGGCCCAGCTCCGAGCTGAACTCGCCAAGCTGACGTCCGCTGTGAATGTGATGACCCGTGACACCGGTGCCCCTTCCCAGCGTGGCCGCCAACGAGAGCGTAGTCCCGGGCCACCGTCACGCCACCCAAGTGCCTCCAGGTCTCCCGGCCGTGACAATCACGACGACCTTTGCTGGTATCACCGTGCGTTCGGTGCGAAGGCGAACAAATGCCGAGACCCCTGCCGATTCCTGTCGGGAAACGGGAAGGCCAGCCACTAGTCGCGACCGCTAGTGTGGTTGGCCCCTCGAATACCGCTACCGGTCGCCTACTATTCGTCAAGGATCGCTCCCAGTCCGTCGAGTTCCTTGTCGACACCGGCGCCGCCGTCAGTGTTCTTCCTCCGTCATTCGTAACTCTGTCTCGTCGTGTTCATCGCAATAGCCCTCGCCTCCGTGCAGCGAATCAGAGCAGCATCGCCACGTACGGTCAGCAGCTGCTAGATTTAGACTTAGGTCTCCGACGCACTTTCAAATGGGTCTTCGTCGTTGCTGACGTCAGCTATCCGATCCTGGGTGCGGATTTCCTTGGCCACTTCCAACTCACTGTCGACCTGGCCGCCAGATGTCTCCGGGACTCCACTACTCAACTTGCCGTTGTCGGATCCGCCTCGGATGTCAGCACCTCCGCTACCAACCTGCTGGACACTGATAGCCCTAGTGAGTATTCTGCCCTGCTGAGTGAGTTTCCTGACCTTGTCCGACCGACCACTGGTGACTCGCCTGTCAAGCACAATGTGACACACCGCATAGTCACAGATGGCCACCCCGTCCACGCTAAGCCTCGCCGTCTGGCACCCGACCGCCTTGCTGTCGCTAAGTGTGAGTTCCAACACATGTTAGATTTAGGCATTATTCGTCCCTCCTCTAGTGCATGGTCATCCCCTCTGCATATGGTGCCAAAGAAATCCGGTGACTGGCGACCCTGTGGTGATTACCGAGCCTTGAATGACTGCACGATCCCCGACCGCTATCCCATCCCGCATATTCAAGACTTTACGTCCCACCTGCATGACAAGATCATATTCTCTAAGATTGACCTCGTCCGTGCATACCACCACATTCCTGTGCACCCTGACGACATCCCGAAAACTGCCATCACCACCCCCTTTGGACTGTTTGAGTTTGTCCGCATGCCCTTTGGCCTTCGCAACGCAGCCCAGACATTCCAACGCTTCATTGACCAGGTAGTTTCAGACCTTCCCTTCTGCTTTGCATATCTGGATGACTTGCTCATTGCTAGCGCCTCACCCGCTGAACATATGGCCCACCTTCGCTGCATATTCTCCCGCCTTGCTTCACATGGCATCTTGATCAACGTCCGGAAGTCGCAGTTCGGCCAGGATGAGCTTGACTTCCTGGGACATCACGTGACTGCCTCAGGTATCCGACCTCTCGACGCTCGCATGACCGCCATTCGTGAATTCCCACAGCCAGCTAGTGTTCGTAAGCTCCGTGAGTTCATCGGCTTCGTCACGTTCTATCACCGATTTCAGCCACATCTTGCTGCTAAGCTCGCACCTCTGCACGCTATGCTTGAGAAACGCCACCGCACCAAAGGCGCGCTCGTCTGGTCCGACTCGGCCATCGCTGCTTTCAATGATGTCAAAGCTGCGTTCACTGAGGCCATCACACTTCACCATCCTCGCCCGGATGCCGCCTACAGCTTGATGGTCGACGCTTCAGACATTGCTGTTGGTGCCGTCCTCCAACAAGAGCTAGATGGTGAGTGTTATCCTGTTGCCTTCTTTTCACGCAAGTTAAAGCCTGCTGAGACACGCTACAGCACCTTCTGTCGAGAGCTCCTCGCTATTTACCTAGCCATTAAGCATTTCCGACACTTCCTGGAAGGGCGTGTCTTCCATGTGTGCACCGATCACAAGCCTCTGACACATGCCATCCACAGCCGTTCACAGACCCACAGCCCGCGTCAACAGCGCCATTTGTCGTACATTGCTGAGTTCACGACAGATATTCGTCATGTCAAGGGTTCTCAGAATGCTGCCGCTGATGCACTGTCACGATGCCACCTACCCGATGAGCCCGTCTCTGCCATCACTGCCATTGACACAGCTTCCTTTGCCGCCGCTCAACAAGATGATCCAGACTTGCCCAGTCCTGGTAAGGATCCATCCACTTCGCTATGCTGGCAATCTATAGCTCTGCCCATGACTGATCACTCGCTCATCTGTGACACCTCTACTGCGTCTGCCCGCCCGTATGTACCTGCCAAGCTGCGCCGTGCTGTTTTCAATTCGCTTCACGGCCTCTCCCACCCTGGTACCCGCGCTACCAGGCACCTGATTACAGCTCGCTACGTCTGGCCCGCAATGAACAAGGATATTAGTGAGTGGTGTCGTACCTGCCACGCTTGTCAGCAGTCTAAAGTTCAGCGCCACACCACATCTCCCGTGAGTGCATTCAAGCAACCTGATGCCCGTTTCTCCCATGTCCATGTCGACATCGTAGGCCCGCTTCCATCTTCTAGTGAGTCTCGCTACCTCTTGACGATGGTAGATCGCTTTACTCGCTGGCCCGAAGCAGTACCTATTCCCGACATTACAGCCGAAACCGTCGCTCGCCAGTTTGTTGCCACCTGGGTCGCCCGATTTGGTGTTCCCACTGTGCTCACAACCGACCGAGGTGCCCAATTTGAGTCATCCCTGTGGTCATCGCTCATGTCACTACTTGGCACATCTCGCATTCGCACAACGGCTTACCACCCGGCTGCCAACGGCATGGTAGAGCGCTTTCACAGACAACTGAAAGCTGCACTCCGAGCTTCCGACAATCCACAGCGCTGGACGGAACATCTGCCACTAGTCCTGCTCGGCATTCGCTCCTCCCTGAAGGCTGACCTCAACTGCTCAGTTGCAGAAATGGTCTACGGTTGCCACCTCCGCCTGCCAAGTGATTTCCTCACTGACGAGCCTGAGCCATTTCCGGATCCGACGTCCTATGTCAGCCGCCTCAAACAAGCCATGTCCGAGCTCCGCCCTACACAACCCCGCAAGCCACCCACCCAGCATCCGTTCATTCCAGCTGACCTCTCGACATGCTCTCATGTCTTCATTCGCACAGATGCAACACGAACGCCCCTCCAACGTCCTTACACTGGTCCACACCGAGTCCTGGAACGTCATGATAAGTACTTCCGCCTCGACCTCAACGGCCGCTCCGACACAGTATCCATCGACCGACTCAAACCCGCATTCCATGACAACCAGTCTGTCGACCATTGCCATCCGACCAAGCCGACGCCATCGCTCGCATTCGACGTGCCTCCGCCACGCCAAACACGAGCTGGTCGTCAAGTCAGATTTCCCGCCTATTTCTGACACTCTCTCGCTTATCCCATTTGCTTGCTCTCACTTTATCGCGCTAGTTATCGCTCATTACTCATTCACTAGGAGGGGAGCTCTGTAGCGTCCCTGACGTTCTCGCATTATGATATCATCATTTGTTTGCATGTACACGTCATATTTTCCTCATCATCACAAACACTGATTCACCATACTCTCGCACACATTGTAATACCTACTACACGTACTTCGCTACCATAATAATTACGTAATGTTTGGCTAGCATAGTTCCAATACACATTACGACATCTTTTGATGTTACGCACTCCTCGCCTACAACGCTATTGTAGAAAAGTAGTCTTTACTCATCTCTTGTAAGTTCTGTTTGCATCCAAACACTTCTTCCAAACAGCACACGTCAGATATCTAACAAAACAACAAACTTCATTGCACAGTCTTCTATCACAATCTCTTTCCTATATAAACCTCCTTTCTCTTCACTTTCTTCATGACATTTAGTGTTCGCCAGTCTTGTAAAGATCTTGGAAACTAACACTCGTTGCACTGTATCTAGACTACTAAAATGTCATGTACAATGTACACCATGGCATAATGCCAGTACACATTGCACAATATTAGCGCGCTGGAAACGGAGCCGAGCGTCTCATTGTAAGTAATAGTTTGGCGGATAAAGCTCCAAAAATTGGAAAATTCTACTCGAAAAGCAGGCAGAACCATACACGTAATATGGCAGCTCAGGCACTTCCTTGACTGGGAAGGCCTCTTTTACGGGCAAAGCGAAGCACAATCATCACCATGTGGCATGTATCATTGTCGATTGATGTATCACTGCTACTATCACACAGTATTAGTATAGTGCAGTGTCAAAAGTCATGATTCTGACGGCATTGTTTTATCCTGCATTCCTGGTCAGGCCGGTCTCTGGCTCCTCCTAGATCCTGGATCCTCAGCTCAGCCGCTCCTGTGACTTGTGAGTGTGACTGCGACTGTGAGTTGCGTGACTCGACCACCTGGATTATTAAAATAATAATTTATTATTGGACGATCTGGCTTCTGCCTGGTCCTGTGATGATACAGTCATGTAGTGATGGTAGATCTCATCATACTCATGTACATGTATGCATAAATCATAGATCTACCATGATACAGCCAGTACTACTACACTGTACAATGACTTTGTAGGTTAGTCTACACAGTACAGGCGATGGTAGAGTCTACCCGGTAGATCTACCCGTAGATCTACTACTACTAGTATACCGGTACGTGTGTGTACTACTCAGTAGGTCTACATCTTAGCTATCATGTCATGGACTCATGGTAGATCTGTAGATGGTAATCATGGTAGCCATATGCGTTGACCAGCTGCCAGCTTTATGTTTGAAGTGACATACTGGTATTTATTATTTTTCGATACTGTAATGTATATGTACATGTATTATAAATAGCTCTTGTACAATATCGTGAAGTCACTTTGTTGGCGAAATCAGATCATCCTGCTAGTAGGGGCGCTGGAATAGCTGCACTACCGGTATCCTACCAGATCAGACATCGGATTCATAGATTTCCACGTATGTAGCAGCGGAAACTGAGCGGTGCGCACTTCCGTCTTCAACGACAGTCACCCTCCGGAGGTTCCGCACTTCACCTCAATCACATTCTTCTTGGCCACATGGATGACCGGACCGGGATCCTGCTGCATTGCACCGTTATCTAATTCAGCTGGAGGTAGTTTGTGACACGCGGCATGCGCTAGTGACTAGTGGTGGAAGATTATCCGTCTACAACTTACAAGTCTAGGAGAAGGAGGTGAGCACGGAACCTCCGAACTTCCTTCACGTTTTGCCACGGTATTTTTTAGTTGAAATGTGGCAAAATTGATTTTACCAGTTTAGGAAGTATGAATTATACATTCAGCCCCACACGTATACAACTGGATTCCATCATTGCTTTCAAGTCGGATTGCGGAAGGTGTAGTGGTCTTTGAAAGCACAGTGCGACTTTGGAAATCCAGTCGACTGACCGGGGCCGGCGCCCTCAGCGCGTACAGAACGCTGCGTGCAGTGCACTTGTTGATCCGATGCGACCAGCGCGCTGCAGCGCGTAAACATGATAAACGCATGTGTGCACCGCTTATCCTCGGCTGCATGGCCAGCGCCCTGGGGCCGCTTGACGTGCGACCGGATTTCCATGTCCACGACAGTAGCATACGTTTATCTTTGCATCGCTTTTGCAAAAGACACTGCGTATCATCTCTCCAGTCATTGATCTGGGCTATAAAACACTGACTTTCACATCACTTGGACTGAGTACGGTACTAGTATAGTGAAGAGGGCGGCGCTCGCCGAGGATCAGTACAAAGTATTGTGCTACTGCTAGTCAAGTTTTGCAGCTGTTGAATGATACTGTATCCGGACTTGTAGACCGGCTGTATTGTACTCATTGCGACCGAAGTGCATTCGGGAATTGGCATCTTATGCCACGGTTTATACAGCTTACCATATCATGAGGCGCAACTTGCTCCGTCGATCATCTTACATCACTCCAGTATGATTTTTGACCAGGAATCAGAGCGAAACGTGCTGATATATATATATATATATATTACTACAGTGGAGATTGGATATAACGACACTCCTTCGGGAGAAAACAACATGTCGCTATATTCGATCTGTCACTAAACCCGATCTTCACATTATGTATATCAAAAATGACAGAAATATATTGCAGATATGCATGTGCGTAATATCATGCATATGGATTTCAGTTGTGCATGTGTCTTGCATGCATAGTTCAAGCCAAAGGTCATGCATTACAACATACTTGAACTATACCGCTGCACTGCAATGACCAGCACGCGTGGAGTGACCCAGATGTCCGAGCATGTGACACAGGCTGAGACATGTTCCATGCATGCCACTCCGCCTGATACAAGAGGAAAGTCGTTATATTCGATGCATTTTCAGGTCTTCGGGCACCAAAAGTGTCAGTAAATTTGATCTGTCGCTATTTTCGAGGTCGTTTACTGTAATTTCACAAATGTTCGGTGTACTTTTATTTTCGGTACTTTCGGTGCGTCTGTTTCATACCTAAACGTTCAATACACGGAACAAACACTAACACACATAATCCAATAGGGAACTGCTTCTCTATACCGAAAATTTCTGTTCACCTAACCGAGCCTGTTGCCCTCATACCGAAAATATAGAGCACTGAAAATTTCTGAAATTAGAATATACCCGATCTATAATGTACAGAAAGGACTTGTTTAAAACGACTTGGGCAACAGAATTTTGTCGTTAAACTCGATTTGTCATTATATCCTAGGTCGTTTCATCCGATCTCCACACAATACTGGTCAATCATAGCGCTGTTTAATATCCGGACGCCGACGTTACGGACACTTCGGTCCTTCGGGCACCCTTTTGGGCGAGTAGCAAGGTAGGACCTGTACTGTGCAGCTAGCCAGATAGATAGTCTGACTACTGTACAGCTAGAGTACATTGTTATGTACATGTAGGCTATTGGTTTTCTTTTTCTGTGATGTCTGCTGAGCCTATGTTCACTTCATGTATGCTGTCTAGAGCATGGATTCGGACCAAGAAGACGAACTGCTTTTAAACAACAGTGAAACTGACAACAAGCCCCATGATAAGGTGTCGCTGTTGCCCAGTCAGGCAGCAAAGGCACCACCAGCAGATGCAGATTCACTGTCGCGCTGGCACCAGTCCAATCATCCCCAGCATCTCAAGCAAAGTAAGGCATTGCATTTGTATTGTATTTTATTATTTTACTTGGGCATTCCCAACAGACCGGGCCCTAAAAGATCTTCTTACAGGGTGCCCAAGGCATCAGTTGTTCTCACATATAAAAAATTTAGCTGTTCCTCGTCCAACTTGTGATCAAAGACCGAAAATCCCATTCGCTGCATCCATGCCAGGCAACGAGTCGTAGAGTCGAACGAAAACATGTCTAAGAATAAGATGTGGAAATGATCACGATGTGCACTGAGCAGGCATTGGGGTATGTACTCCTGCTCACGATGTGCACTGAGCAGGTACTGGGGTAGGTACTCCTGCAGGCATACTGGGCAGCAGTGAGGGTTGCACTCAGGAAGCTCTTGCCACCGGCCCAACGTTCTGGGCTGCACTGCAGCCCAGAACACTGCCTCACACCGTGAATACCGTGTTCTAACCATTCGCGTAGGAAATAGGCTATGGGCATACGGCCACAGCAGTATGGCCACTGTACTCCACTCGATGTTCTATCACGAAAAGGGTTCAATGCTTCGCTCTATGATTATGATCAGTAACGAAGAATTGGAAGAGAAGCTATGTATTTACGTACAGGGTACATTCTTCTCGCGTACGCTAACCAGACACAGCCTACATGGGCTAATGCATACACGTTTTTGTTTTCAGCATTATCACTTCATCCGATTAATCACTACACGCGATGTCACATGCGCATGCACATGTCTACATCTATACGTTCTGCTATAGCGTCTACCACTATACATACGCGCAAGAGTTCATAATCCCCAAGAGTGTGCAACGGGCATAGACCAGCGCTCGGCGAACTTCCTACATTACGTCATGCGCAGCTTGTCATCCGAGGTAAATTTGGGTTCTTTACGATTTCTGGAAATTATACCCTGAACCGCTCCTAACTGAAGGCTCAGTGTAGCCTCAACTTTTCGAAGCTTTTTTTTAAGACATTTCGGACGTACGTCCAAGTTGTACTTTCTCAAAAACAAACTCTTTCTCCAAGAATCCATGGACATCGCGACAGGAAGAAGAAGTGAGGACGCTGTTAAAAATATTGCATTGCCGTCGAGGACAATCATTCTGATAGCTGTGCAACTCAGCCGAAAAATGCTCCTTCGACGTACTAAGTATTCTCAAGTTCCTCAACCATTTGAAATCATCTTCGAGGAAAGCACCGGAAATATGCCGATGGCCTGGGGAAGAAATTGTTCTTGAAGAGACTGACTGCACTGGTGAAAGAAGAAGGCGATGAAGAGTCACCATTGTATCGAAAATATAAATAGTTTTGTCTTTTATCGTGTGCTTTGTTTCACTTTTGCTTCTTGAGGCTCAGACTAGAATCGTAGTTTAGGCAGTTTACCCTGGAGAAGCATCCTGGTTTGACTGTAAATTTTAGAAGAATTCATCGGCGTGACTCATCGCACTGCACCAAAAATGACACAATGAAGGAATCCCGCCGAGCGGGCTTCCATACAGGGACTGATCAGGAGTTGCACACTCTTGGGGGTTATGAACTCTTGATACGCGCAAGAGTAGATAAACAAGAGTGTGCAACTCACGGATGGGTTGGCTCACAGCGGAATTTTTTGTTGACGTAATCTTTTCAATGACGCACACGCTGCGAGTCTTTTTAGGAGTTTTGCCTCGTGCACTTGGCCGAGCTTTACATTACAAGGTCGGTGCACAGCATGTGCTCTCACACTGCTCTGCGGCGAAATGCACATGCTCTGTAAAAAAAAAGGGGGGTGATTGCGCCCTACTACAGGTCAGACCTAGTTATAACGTAATCTCTGGGGGGTGGGAAAAATATGTTATTGTGAGGTTTATGCTATAGTGAGTTGGGCACACCAATATGCAATATGTATGTCAAAATGACGCTCTTCACTTACTGGTTACAACTGGACTGTTTTACATACAAGTATGATGATGTAAACTAGCAAAGATGTGTACAGGCTTGTCAGTAAAGGGGTGACATGCAGTGCGTGTACGTGTACATGTGACCTATCAGTGCATCTCTGCCACCGCCAGCATATCCGACTCTGCAACACAACTCCAGGAAGCTGTGAACGCCGTCTCCCACTGGGGTTCCAAGTGGACGGTCACCTTCGAGCCATCCTAATCTCAGGCCCTCATCATCGACCACCGCAAGCCTCCCCCAGCGCTCCCACCAGTGCTCTTCAATGCTGTGACTGTTCCCGAAGAGAAGGAAAATAAACTTCTGGGCGTAGCATTCGACTCGCAACTGTCCTACTCAGCACACCTCCGGGCCGTGGCCTCAAAGGCTGCTCAACGCCTACACTTCCTGAGAAAGGCTGCACCCATGTTCAGTGGCGTACCCAGGGGGGGGGGGGGGGGGGGGGGGTGCTTTGGGTGCTCAAGCACCCCCTCAAATTGTTTCAACATAGGCCAACTTGATGTACCCATGCCACTAAAAGTACCATAACTTTGCGACCGATTGTCCGATTTACGCAAATGACGGCCCATTGGAAAGGCCTTGAGCAAGGCTATTCATTGAGATGTGATTGAATTTGATATTAATTTTAGAAAACTAAACTGTATTGTACCCAAACTCTGAAAGAAGAAATGGGAATGTTCATAAACCAGACTTTTGAACGCAATATTGGTGGCACAATTATCAGATTTTTCTAACCAAGGTTCACACCAAGGTTCAACTCAAAGGTTCAACTCACGTAACAGAAACTCGCCCAAACATGCAGTAAGTTGTAGCCTGCAGGCACGGTGACCAGTTGACTGGTGTACGCAGGAGCACGTGACCGCTTGTTCAGCCATGTTCGATTGGGAATAAGGACCGAACGCTACATCTCCGCCTTTTCGGACCAAAACCAGTCGACTCAGCGTCCAAAAGACTACAACATATGGGCCAATCGCGGTCATCTGTGCTTTTATAAGAACGAAATGGCGCTTTTAGGGGACGTCCGTAAATACATGTATTTACTTAGAGACGTCTAAGAGGCATTTCTTTCTTGACCCATCCACCCATCCCCAGAAACGCCCCCCAAAAATGCAGATTATACTACTCATAATAACCACTATACTATGCACACATATACTGTACAGACGACTCCACTTATAACGAACTTGCATATAGCGAATTTCGTGATAATTATAGCGAACCCTTGTCCATGTCCCTGTTTGAACCCATACAAAATCGACCCTTTATAGCGAACAGTCTCCCTGTCTCCCTGTCTCCCTGACCACTTTGCCGTGTCCCGTGCTTTGCAGTGTAGACTGTAGTGCTTTCTTTTGAATTATCTTCTTTCTTTCTTCTTTCTTATACATGTATGTCTACTACAAGTACTTTTCTTTTGTTGATTTGGCCGTGGTTGGCTATCACCCCTCTCTCATTCAATGTTGTTGTTGTTGTTGTTGTTGTTGTTGTTGTTGTTGTTGTTGTTGTTGTTGTTGTTGTTGTTGTTGTTGTTGTTGTTGTTGTTGTTGTTGTTGTTGTTGTTGTTGTTGTTGTTGTTGTTTCTTTATTTTACTTCACCATATGAACAGGCAAGACTGCCTTCTCACCGGGGCTATTAGCCCACGGCTCTCACAATATGATGAAAATGTTTAAAATGTGTATGAAGAAGAAAGGAACGGAAAAGAAGATGAAATGAAAGGAAAGAAAACAGTAGGTATATTGGCATTGCTAATGCTTATTACGAGATGATGATGATGCAATAATAATAATAATAAGTGGGTCTCAACGCCTACCTGTACTATAGCTGTAGCCGCAGTGCTACATCATGTACATACACGCTCGGTATGGTATGCATGCACTCTGAAATGTACATACACGCTCGGTATGGTATGCATGCACTCTGAAATGTACATACACGCTCGGTATGGTATGCATGCACTCTGAAATGTATTTTTTAGAAACGCCCAGGCGAACCCACCCACCAGAAACGCCTGTTAGACGTCTTAAAGTAAATACTATTACGGACGGCCCCTTAGTGACATTTTGCATACAAATCCCCATCTAGTAGGGCGCAATCACCCAGTTTCGGTGGAAGTGCGATTGAGAATAAAGAAGGAAGGGAGCGTCTCAGCTTCCTCGGACCACGACCATTCGACTCAGCACCCCGAAGACTACAGCTGGTGAAAATTTGATTTTAGCCGCTTAACTTCCCCTTTAACTGATATCACTGTCACTACAACCAACCAAAACAACCAATATGTGCATGTGCTGGTGGTCCCCACAGTGCACAGAGTGCAGCACATTTTTTTTCTTTCTTCCAGACTCCTGGATCCTATGCGCGCGGGTGACTGCGAGAAACATAGAAATAAAACGCGTGGCCTTACATGAATTTGTACACGTGCACTGTACATGTCATCTGCGACTTCGGGTATCATCCTGTCCCTGGGGAAAATCGCGATTCCGCGGCCGCGTTTTTTCCGCATTTTTGCGATTTTTTAAACGACCGCATTTTCCGCGATTTTCCCGCGTTTTTTGAACTTTTTTGTTTCACTACACGTACAGTGCACTGTTCGGTCAGCAACGTCTCATCGTGGCGGCTTTGTACTCAAATATGACGAGTGCTTACACCAGAGACTTGTAACTGATTGATTTCACTACATACTCACTGAAAATTGCCTCATATCAACTGCAAACCTGCCGCATATCAATAATATTCACCGCATATTTACCGCAAATTATGCCATATTTACCCGCAAATTCTGGGATTTTTTCCCGCGATTTTCCCCGGGGACAGATCATCAAGAGTGTATAACCCCGGGGTAATATACTAGTCTTGGTACTATTCTGTACCCGTCTACCCGAGGTCCTCACGATCACGGGTAGACCGGCGGGTGCCCGACTACATGTTCACACCACTAAAAATAATGTACTCTTGGTAGAATGACTCTACTGTACCAGATACATACTAAAGGGTGCATTTGGTTGGTACGACCTAGAACAGGATTCACCAGAACAGCGCGTTTGGTTGGGACTGCACCTGTTCTGGGTCGGCCAGAACA